AAATGGGACGCAACCGGTGGCGTAGTTATAAATGGAACCCCTGAATATGTCCGTAGCTGTGTGGAGGGTAGCCTGAAGCGCCTCGATGTTGAATACATTGATCTCTATTATCAACACAGAGTCGACACCACCACTCCCATTGAGCATACCGTAATTGTTGCACTTTAGTTTCGAGCTTTGATTATGACATAACAAATAATATTATGATTCCAATCGAAAAATTGTGACAGTTTCTTCCATACCATCATACTTCTTACATACAGATGGATGAACTGAAGAAGTTGGTGGAAGAGGGGAAAATAAAGTACATCGGTTTATCGGAAGCTAGCGTCGAGACTGTAAAGAGGGCGCATTCCGTACATCCCATAACTGCCGTACAGATGGAGTGGTCGCTCTGGGCTCGTGAAATCGAGGAAGAAATAGTCCCACTTTGCAGGTTTCTTCTTGATTCTCCCCCCCCCCAAACACTAGAAAATATTACTCCATAATCAACCATCTTGTCAGACTCATATGGTAAATGATTCTTCAAGAATCAATCAAATACATGAAAAAAGTAAGAAAAATTAAACATTCTCATGATAGATACAGGCTGCATGGCGAAGCAAGAGACATGAATAGTTAAGTGTGTTAATGAATACAGGGAACTCGGACTAGGGATTGTTCCATACAGTCCACTTGGTCGGGGTTTCTTCGGCGGCAAAGCTGTCTTGGAAGGTGTGCCTAAAAGTAGTATCCTGGTACGGAAAATCTATCACTAAGTATATGTTTTTCTTTCAACTTAAATCTAGTACATGAAAAAAAACATTATAATATAAAGCTATTTTATAGCCAATGTTCCCAAGATTTCAAGGTGAGAACTTGTACAAAAACAAGATATTGTATTTCCAATTGGATAAATTGGCTGAGAAGCATGGGTGTAAACTTGCACAACTTGCACTTGCCTGGGTTCTTCATCAAGGAGATGTTGCACCCATTCCTGGTGAGTCACAATATTTTCTCTTTATCACTTATTAAAAGATCATATATTGGTATTTATATAGATATATATCAAATATGTGAATTAAACATAAATATTCAAAGAGATGAAAAATATAATTCAATTCCTTTTAACTTTTAACCCTTTCTTTCGCTTTTTGTAGGGACAACAAAGATAAAAAATCTTGACATCAACATTGATTCACTTCAAATAAAGCTCACCAGAGAAGATATGGAAGAAATTTGTGATGTGTTTCAGATAAAGGAGGTGGCCGGTGCTCTTTCACCTAATTATTTTGATCAAACGTGGAAGTTTGCCAACACCACTACCAAAGGACCCTAAGGTTTCAACTAAAGTCTAATTTGTGATGGTTTTGGTGTCCGGAACTATTGTCATTTTGTATGTTGAAAATTTTTAATTGTTTAAGATGATTACAGGATAGTAACTTTTTTTAAAAAAATTAATCACTAACAACGTATAAATACCACACATAGGTATATGTTTAGGCTCAAATTCTCTAGGAAAAACAACACTCTTCTTTACCGAAACCGCTCACCAACATTCGCTAAGATGTTTTATGAAAAAGTCCATGTCCTTATTGTTCTAAACTATCCAAACCTCTTTCTATCTATAAATTTGAGATTAATGTATGTTTACACATACACAAATTCACATCTTCTTATATATTACAATAACACAATAAAATTAATCAAATTAAGATTTATTTAACCTCTCTGTCATTTATAACTTTACACATTCACATTTTACATGGGTTGATTATGTACTATATTAACCTCTCCGCCAAGGACTTGAGGTAACATCTTTTAAACTCTTCTCAATTTTCTACACTAATTACAGTTTTGACTGAAAATCTTGCTTTCTTTTTGTTGGATTCATGCCCCTCAAAACCCAATCTTCTATATGTTCTCTGTGGATCAAAGATTGATTTGGATTAAGAATTACTATTGTAATGGCTATCAAAGTTTTAAACTTTCTGGCATAGAAAGTAAAGGGTAAATTACTCGTATAATCACTCAACTATTGTCCCTTTTCACTTTGACCATTGATGTTTCAATTTAGTCAATTAAATCATCTAACTATTTAAATGCTTCAATCAAGTCATTAACTATTAATATTTAACGGAAATGTTGAGGTATCAATTAATAAAATTGACCTAGTTTTTTCTAGCATTATTCTATTTTTTTTTATTTTTCTTTAGTTCAATGAAGAGAAGTTTACATATGTTTCAGGTCTTGAAATAATTAAACAAGAAATGAAATTCAACTGGCGACTAAGTTCGGTATTTGCAAACAGGGATGGACCGATAGAGGGCGGGTTGGGGAAGTCGTCCCCTAAATATTAAAAATTACCATATATTTTAGATTTTTCTATGTATTTCTATTAAAATTTTATTTTCACCCCCTAAAATTTTATAAATTCAAGTTTATCCTCTAAATTCAAATTCACTCCCTGACGTAAGATCTTGCCTCTATCCCTGATTGCACGATGGCATCTGCCGGTATATGATTGTGAAAGGTGTTGGTTTACTGGTCTTGGTTCGCATTTGTATGAACGTGGAAAAAAGAAATGATGGTTACATAATTACTATACCATGCATGAAAATGGCCCTCGAATTGTGAACGTGGAAAAAGGAAATGATGGTTACATAATTGCTATACCATGCATGAAGGTGGCCCTCGAATTGTGAACGTGAAAAATCATCACTTGTCGTCATCTTAAGTTATGGTCATGAGTTGAAGTTTCTTGATGGGAGACTCACTATAAATATGGCTAGTAAAGAGGTCCTTAAGCACAAATACAAACGATTTTACTTTAAGGAAATTTATACCAACAAGTGAGGTATTTGAATATTTAGAAGGTGATTTTCGATCTCCTAGGTAACGAAATTTGACGTGCTCGATAATAGTATTACAACATCTCAATTTGGTTTTTAATTTATACAGTGACTGAAGATATTTATTTTGAATTTTGCTACTTTTATGCTATGAATTTTACACGCTTAAGTTGTCGAAAACTTGATGTATGCTCAAACTTGCTCAAGACCTAACATTACATTTGCAGTTAGTATGTTAGAAAAATACAAAATAATTCAAACATATATTGGTCGGTGAAAATTACAAAAATAGTTTTGAAATATCTTAAAGAAATAGATGACTACATGTTTATGTACAGAGTGGTCTCCAATATTTTCGGGATCCTGAACGAAATTTAAAAATAGTTCATATAGAACGAAATTATATCTATTATTTTGAACAATTAATTTAAATTATATTAATAAACCATAAAGATAGTTATATTATTTTCAAATTTTCTTCTCGATTACGTTTTTGGTGGAGCTATACCTTAAAGGAAGATCAAGCAGGACTTTAACTACTACTTAGCTATGAAAGTAGGGTTTGTTTTACGTTTTGAGGGATATCTTAGATGGACTATGGTTGATTAGTTTTTTCTTTAGGTTTAGAATAGGTCTATAGCAGCTTTTTTTAGTTTTAAAGAGCCATATCCGGCCAAAAAACCACAAAAAGCGTCGGCTAAAAAGTGCCACAACTATTAGCGGCGTTTTACGGTAACAAATGCTGCAATAGGTCATGTTATTTAACGGCGTTTTTTATAAACGTCGCAATATATTAGTTAGTTCAGACAAAACGCCGCTAATAATTGTATATATCTGACGTTTTTAGGACAAACGCCTCTAATTATGCACCTTCAGTAAGGTTTTCATCCTAAAACGTCGCTAATCACAACTAATTTTCAAAATGTTTGTCTACTTTGTATTTCAAATTTAACTTGTAACAATATCCAATAACAATCTTGAAATTTAATTACAATTCAAATTAAGTAAAAATAAATAAAATACGTTTGAACACACATATTAAACATGAATTTTGAAAGATGAAAAATTATGGGAGTACACTTTTCTTAACAAATGAAATTCTCTTGTTAGTGATTACGTTGATTCCCTTACACACTAGGGTGATCGTCCCTAATAGGGTGACTCTAAAACAAACTCCACCTGCCAATTAGCTCTCTCCACCATCCATCGATGCCTTTACTTTCTCATATCAACTTTATGCACCATTGCTTTATTGCTTGCAACCTGCAATAACCAATAAAACTTTGCAAAATAAGCTACATTAACAGTTCTAAGTAATCATTAGATGCTAATTTAATGGTAAACTTTTAGGTATTATATCAGTCAAGAAAACACCCTACAGATTGCAGCAACCAGGTACAAGTCCCTAAAGAATCTCTCATCTTTCCTTTGATTGTGTCGCTTCTTACTTGAAGTCATCACCATATCTACTGACTGACTTTAATGTTTACGATGTATGTTTTCTGCACCCAATTATAATGAAACAAACAGTCTTGAGGTTAATTACAATGAATATCAGTCATGAAAAATGAAATATTTCATTTTAAGAACAAATAAAACTTCCCCTCAAATAAGACCACTAAGTAATTCCAACATTCAAATTAGTAACCATTCACCGTGACTTAAAACTTCAAAAGTCTAAAAAAAAATCAAAGCTTAAATCATTAGTTCCAGCAAAAGTTCTAGTAATTTTTTTTCCTCGATGGATACGATAATCCTTTCTCAAACATTTGTACCAGCAATGAATAAAGAGTGCAAAGTAAACAACTCCAACGCATTCTCACAGCAATTGCTTCTCATAATTATTAAATTATACAATGATTTAAAGAAAATATTATCATGATGCCTGATTAGTATATCTCCCTGGAAAAGACAACAAAGTTAAGAACAGGACTGCAAATAGAGGGGGGGGGAAACAATCTTGTAGCTACTTAAATAAAGGAAATCCTACAACTGAATAGCAACCTAAAGTAAAGCCCAAGAGTCAAAACAACATTGTAGTTAGGCAATATCAAGCTGAAGAGATGTAAAGCACATAGATTAACCATTCCATATATATATTTTTTTATGATCTACTTGAATAAAGGAAATCCTACAACTGTCGAATGGTTGCAGCTACTATTACAGAACAATTCCCTTCAATTACAAGGAGATATAGAAATTTGATCAAATCTGCAACATACACAAGATAAAATTTACATAAACTGAGAAACATTAACCATTTCCCATAAAAGTTGATGAAAACAGACCTTGTTTCACTCAAATAAGAATCGGATTTAGCTTGTGAACTTATTGGGCTCCCTGTTTGGATAACATCCTTCTCAAACATTTAAAAAGGGGAAAACATTAAAAAAATACCAATTTTACCAAGCCTTACACTATTCATCGCCTCCAGAGCCTTCTTGGCATTATATGAGATCACTTTATCCTCACTGGGTTTCCCTTCTGGTCAGTGTGGTTTAACCGGCCGAAAACTGTAGATTCTGATAAGAGAGAGAGAGAGAGAGAGAGAGAGAGAGAGAGAGAGAGGGTAAACATTAATAATTACTCAAGACCTCAACTGATACACAAGATTCATCAAATACCCATCCAGACAAAGGGCAAAAATCACTGAAAAGTGGAAAATCGTAAGAAATACGAAACATGAAAAAAAATCTATAGATTGTACACAAAAAAATAAGGAAATGATATATGAATGATAGATAACAAATATGAAAAAAGAAGGGAAGCAAGAGAAGAAGCCAAGAACTAACCAGAATAATGAAAAATGGAGATACCACGCTTAGTTGAACTCGTTCACGGTAACCGATACGAGCAGAAGAAGAAATTTAAGGGAAATTGGTTTTTTTAAACCTAATTTTTGCTATATGACCGGTGAGATTCAAAGGGTAAGAGATGGGATAGGTGAGGAAAGTTAAGAATTAAAAATTGGGTAATAATCGAGATGAGACAATTTGAGGATAAAAAGATCGAATACTTGCGTTGATTTTACAAACGCCAATAAAGAATTGCAAAGTAGTAGCGGTCGCCCAAAACGCCATATATATGATTCCTCCTTCGCCGTTTGTTAGACAAACATCATTATATATGAATTTTATTATGGCATTTTCTGAAAATACTGTCGTATATTAGTCTATTACGGCGATTTTACTAAAAATGCCACTAAAGATTGTGGCGCTTTCTCCTAAATGCCGTAAAATTTATCATTTGACGTTCTTTCGATAAACACCGTAAAAGGTCTAAAATTACGGTGTTTGCTTTAAAAAGCAGTTAAAGTGTCATCTGCTTAGATTTGATTTTTAAAATTATTAATGATATATTGCGTTAATTTAATTATTTTTGTAGAGTTAAGAATAATAAAAATAGAAGTTGAAGTGAAAACATGGACATTAAATATTTAGCCATAAAGGAGCATATCAAATAAAAGAAAGTAGGCATCGAGAGCATTAACAGTAAACAAATGTAAGCTGATCCTTTTTCTTCTAAAGAATTTTACCAATCATATTGTCATTATGAACACCTCTTTAATATTTTGTTGTAAGAACTATTATAAATAAACTCTGTTAAATTTGATGTTTCTTGTATTTTATTTGTGAACACTTTTATTTGATTAATCCCAGAAATGTTATTAAAGGTGGACTTGAAATAAACATTGAGATTCATTAAGAAATTTAAAAGATGTTATATTGCAAGGTTACACTAATCGAGATAAATTTACTTGTAAAATAATACTGTATGGAATGTTAATTTAGAATGGTATGTTTGGGACAAATTATGGATGATTTGATAGGAAATAAGAAAAGAAGACGGTTTATACAGTAAAAAATAACTACAATAGACGATAGAGTCGAGTATAAAGCAGCATGTCACTGTCCCACACCAGGTCTAACTTATTATACTGAAATTAATATATACATACGTACATATATATAAAGAAGAATCAAGCAGAATCATTAAATCAACATAAAACATCAAATATAAGGTATAATCGACTCTCAGTGATGATAATAAAGACTGGTGACCCTGGGTCTAATTACTGCTACTACTTCCATAGAGCCATAGCCATGGGCATCACCAAAATACCCAATGAAGCTTCCCTGGAAAGAATATGTTGGCTGATACACAACAACAAGATATCAGTCCGAAAACAGAACAAAATGTTGACAAACTTGTTACAGAGTTTGCACTGTTACTTCACCTTTTCCACCATCCGGTGTCGCTTGCTGATCTTCAACCCTAATACCGAGGCGGGAGCAATCGGATCCGAGTGTACCTTAGAGATAAAGAAAACCATAGCTTGATTGATCAGTTTCTTCATGAACTTCAACAGTATGATTACCGAAATTTTGAGTTTGAGTTCATACATTGACTGTAACAAGGGAAGTATGTTCTGTTTAGAAGATTCGAAAACCCGGGCCGCATTCGCATACATGCTTGTATGTATCTGTTCTGTTGCAGGTTCCTTCTCCACGTAAGTCCAAGAGCAAGCTGTTAAAACAACCATAAACAAGAACTTGTAAAACTATGGCTGCTTTTTTTATTCAAACATATTCATGTTGGATACGTATTTTAAATTCGACTTGAACATAGATCACGAAGTCAAGTGATTACGATCGAAGAACGATAGTTGCGAGGAACTTCTTTCTGAGGTACAGGAGGAGGAGCTGGTTGACAAGAGTAATCAAGAGTGCCTGCCACAACAACAAAAAAGGCCATAAACATGCTTAATCAAACTTCATGAAATTGAATATAATCTTCCATGATGTAAACAACATAGATAGAAGATTGGAAAAGTTGGTTTACAGTTGGAATACGCATGGTAGAACCTAAAGAGGTCGACGCCATCGTCACTGCCATCACGAGTTCTTGTCCAACCCGGATCACACTCACAGACATAGCCCAAAGGGTATCTCCAGCCTGGTCTGCATGTTCCCCTTCCACATTCAACATGATCACACAACTTCTCTGTTTTTAATCAAAAACAAGAAAAACAAAAGTGTGTCAGATACTTAGATTTTCATTCTAACGTCGATATTCGATACATATTCGGATATGATCTCTAAAAACATGAAAGTACCGTAGAATGGAGATAGAGCAGGAGATAAGTCGTCAAAATCTCCACTAAAAGCTAAGGGCAACAAGATCAAGAACAAAGCTGAAAAAGCTAAGATTCTGTAGGATGCCATATTCTCCAAGGGAGACTATGAGAATGCACTTCAAACAGAAGAAACTGAAGCTCGTGTTTGTTTAATTAAAGGGGTATTTATGTATAAGTTGAAATTTTCTTAGGTACCAAACAGAAGAGGTTTTTTCAGCATTTACCTAATAGAAGCTTCTGCTGGGTGAAGAAATTCAAGACAGAGACTTGGAAAAGAGTATGCCATTCATTTTCTATTCTTTGAATTGAATACTAATTTCAGTCGTTTTAGCTTTCAAAACTCAATACTATTTTATAAGAATATTCATACGTATGTGAGATCACACGATGGATATGGTTCCGTTTCTTTGTAAGAATGTTGGATTAGCATCCATTTTATATCAATGTCAACAAAGAGGTTGTCCTCTGTAGAATACAAGTTAGAAGCTTCCAACCTTCACGGATTCACAATCAAAAAAAATTTTATATTATTATATAATGGTTTGGTCTTATTTTATGGGTTTATCTTAGACTATGCTTTTGCTTCATTGAAGAATTTTTCAACGTGGTTTATTTTATTTTAACATACAATTTTTCAAAGGTGAGATTCGGTTCAAGATTAAGCTCAAGTTTTCAATCAATAGGTATATTAAAATAATTACTTAATATTTTTATTACAATGGTTTGTCGAACTTGATAGATTAACAAATACTTGGAAATTTTGAGCTAAACAACAAAGACTGAAAGGTTATTGAACTACTTAACAAAAATACCTGGAAATGTAAATTATAATTCATTGGATAATCAAACAATTCGATTTTTATCTTAAATCAAGCTTGAATTTTAGTGGTGGAGCTTGATCGAATTCAAATCAATCTTTATTTCAAATGGAATTTGATTTAGGCACATTTCTTTGTTACAATAAAATCACTAGATTCTTGACTGCACACCAACACAATACAAATACACAATTATCTCAAATTTTATACGCTAAAGTTATTAACAAATCAAAATTCATTGTGAAATTAAATATTCTAAACATGATTACGACATTACAAGATACACAAACATGATACAAATAAACAAATGAACTACTTCACTAGCGGAAGTCTACATTATTGCTAAATGTGGAAAGTAGTTACCTCCAAAATTCAATTGCTGGAGAAAACTGGAAACCAGCATGATGAAGAAATTGAAAAATCTGGAGCTTTCATGGCGGTGCTAGTGATGGAAAGAAGGGATGGATCTTAGAATCACTTCCTACTACGCCATGCAAGGGATGATTAAGTGGAAGGATGTTTTGGAGTTGAAGAAACTCTTTTACAGTTGGGAGATGATGGTTTTGAGACAAGGGCTAAGCCTTTATGTTCGGGAAGCTATGGAGTTTCATTTTATGGAATTCCATGAAGATTTGATTCGAACTTGGGTTGACATGAAGAAGAATCTGATGAACCCTGTTCTTGAGTAGAGCATAACTTAAGAGATGATTTAATGGAATGGGGGGAAAATGCTGCAAGCTTCCCTGTATAGGCAAATGGCCGCCTGCAAAATGAACTGATCACTTGAAGGAACGGTAGTATAAGGATAGCCCGATGTTATTCAGATTCTATAACGTGTCTTATATGAATATGATGAAATTTTTTAAAGTTTTCAAATATGAGTTTTAGACATGGGTATATTCATTTGTTAAAGGTTCTTTTATACTCGTCCCCTGTCAACAATGTGTTCAAATATGTTTGAAAACAGATATCAGGGGAAAACATTTGGAGAGAGGTGAAATGATACCTGGAAATATCAGGGGAAAGCACCGGAAGATGTGGATTCTCTTGACCTTTACTGATTACAATATCAGAGTTTTTCTCTGATGCATTTCTTTCGCAGGCCTCTAAATTGTCCCCATTAGATTCAAACTCATAACCTCCTAGTGAGGAAAAAATAAAATGTTGGTAAATGAAAAATAAATAAAATACAACATAAATATGAACATCATTTTAGTTCAACTATTCAATTTTTATGAAGTAATCACATCCAACACTTACACCCAAATCCAAATAACATAGCACAAACATATCAAAATTTATATGGTACACTGTTAATTGCCAAATTTTATATAAATATGATTGTAGCACATGAAAATATGTTCACAATATAGATACAAAAATTGCAGGTTTTAAGTTAAACACACACTCACCGTCTTTCCGACCAAAACTATTTTTACAACCTTCACACCTACAGCTGAGGGAGCGTCCAACACCAGCCTTTAATACACAGATGAAAACAACCATATCAGGTCGGTGAAGAAAGCAATTTATGCAGAATGAGCTAAATAAACAAACCTGAAAACATTCACAGTATTTCTTTAAGCAACTTGATCTTTTACAGTTGCTTTTAAGAAGCTAGAGTCTCACACAAAAGAATCCGACCTTTTGTGATGTTGGGAAGAGAATTCAAGTGCAAACCAAAACCAGGTGACTTCTCAAACACCAGACAGCGCCGTCGAATACTAACGTGCTGATGGAATAATGTAAAGTACAATTCTATAAAAGTGCCAATGCACTGAGAAGGACAAATAGTGTAAAAATTTCAGAAGATGCGCACTAATAGAAAACATCCTTAATAAACATGCAACAATAAGGAACTTGCATGAGAAAATTTATAGGTTTTTTCAGTTATCCTGACGGCTGAACTGGTTGCAGTTCTCCTTATCATCCTCTCTCAAACCTGAATCACTAACTACTAGTTTGTCTAGTAGACAAGTAGAAAGGATGTTATGTGTCTGATATGTTACTGGCTCTGCCATTCATTTTGTTTGCAAGAACCACTAGGATCACCGGATTCTACAATTTCTAAATTATTGGCATCATCTAGTGGGAACTGCAAGATAGTTGACATAAAGAGGCTGTCCCTGAATCTGCTGCTCTCTGATCCTGCCCATCAGTATTTTCATCAATGATAGATGAATTCATTGTCAACATATCAGCAACATCAGAAAGAGCTGCTACCCAATCGCATCCTGCTTCTTTAATATGCTGAACTCTGCATATTTTATGCAAATCTCTTTCTTGAAGCTGCCTCTTTTCCCATCTATCCCTATTGCGTTGAAAAGGAGATCTCTCGTCACCTGCCACTCCTCCACTTGTATTTTTCAGTATCTCAGCATGAAGCTCAATGTTATCATCAGGACTCTTGCAATCATATTTCAAGATTCTAGGAAACTCTGTTGCTAAATCCGGTTGGACATTGAGTAGATCACTGCTAGTTCCTTTGGATAAACAGTCATTCTTGAGACATCCTAGATGTTCATCATACAAATTAGACTGTTCATCAGTTTTGAGGCCCCCTCACTAGCATTAGATTCATGACCCCTCTGGGGGCTTTAGAATTTGAAGGTGACAAAAAATGATGCCTGAAATAAACCTCAATTAGAACACTTGAAATCGTGAACCAAACAGAAATGATTACTTTTACCTTTTAACCGAAAACCGGGATTCCCTATGAATACTGATCTGTGGGAAGGAAATAAAGATGAAGGGGACAAAAATGCTAGTGAACTGAAAGCATTATCTGCTTGCTTGGACTTGGCTAGCTCAATAGGTGAAAGACTGTCAATATACTTACAGACAGGTGAATCCTGCAAAAGGGAGAAACAAAAGTTTAAAACTTAGCGCACAGGTCCTTAATAGCCTAATAACTATGATCAAGTAGCATTAGAAAACTATGTTACTCAAGTTCTCTCACATATTAGAGGGGTTTTTTGGAGGATCATATCTCTGTATCTATGCCCAAATATGCACCATACATGGGAATTTCAAGAAAAATGGAATTCAAGATAACATGCTAGAAAACAAGGTATAAAAACCAAACTAGAAAGAACACATCCTTTCCACTTCATTCCATGCAACTAAATACCAATATCCGCAACCTTTTCAAGTGCAAATCACCTGTAATTCCTTTGTATAAAATTAGTCAATTACAAAATCTCAATCATCCATGAATATTGACAGTTGAGTTACTATGGCTCTGAATAAGTTACAGGTTGATGCCAACAATATACATGGTTGAGACTGAATAATTTCCCTAACATTTCACAACAGAAGTTTGGTCAAATTAGTAGAAATTCCACCTTCCCTTCATGGATTTTGTGCCCCCTCCCCCAAACAACCTAAAGTTATAACAGTAATCTATCCCAAAACTCTATGTAAAGGGTAATAACAAGAATGGAGGCAAGACCTCCAATAAATCCAAAATTAACACGGAAAATGAAAATAGGAGACAAATTTAACTTATAATGTAACACCAACAAAGACTTCAACGGGAAGAAAAAAAACTAGTTAGCATGTAATTTATTAAACCTTTAACGTAAAACAAAGGGTTTTAAGTTCATTTATGAGTAAAAGAACATAACAAAAAAAAACTCATTTAAAAAAAATAAGGGGAAAAAAGCACCTCAAATTTGGAGAGATTAGAAGTTGGAGTGATCTGGGTTTTATCTGGTGTATCCATTTTTTTCCATCAAAGTTTCCGCATCTTCATCTCTCTTCCACGCTCTTTGAAGGCTGACTGAAAGCTTTAAGAGCTCAGAGCCTCGAGAGAGAGAGAGAGAAAACGCCTAATGATCCTTTTCTTTATTTCTTCGTATTTGGTGGAAACTGATAATTCCTTTTGAACAAACTATTATTTTTTATTGGGAAAGCGGGATAATGAAAGCAAATTCTTTTTGTTTTCAACTTGTGAAAACTCAATCAAAATTGGGGCAGCCCACACATATGACATACTGTCATAATGTGATATGTCCGGCTCCAAATGAGACGTGTCTTCTACGAATTGAGGGAATCTTGGGCTTTCATTATTCCTCCTCCTCCTTCAGTTCCATTTTCTTATAATTCAGCTTATTGTTACGTGATTAACATTGTTATTTGCATGAACCCAGTTACCTTATGAATTAAAAGATGGTTGTTGTCTCTAAACATTTTATGTTTGAGTACTTGCAAACAGAGATAATGAAAATGTTTATTGTCAAATGATTTAAAATCTTTAGAACATATATTA